CCCTTTGCAACAGCATGGATGGACCTAGAGAGTATTATGCTAAGTGAAATAAGCCAGTAAGAAAAAGACAAGTACCACGTGATTTCACTTATATAGAGAATGCAATGAACAAAGTAAACTGACAAACAAATAAAACCAGATTCATGGATGCATGGAACTAGCTGGCAGATCTTGACGGGGAATGGATGGGAAGAGATCAGCCAAGGAATATACATCCATAGCCCATGGACACTGGCAACAGTGTGATGTATTACTATATTTTTTAAATCTACACCTTGAGTATCATATTGTCAGTTGTGGATTTTCTGGTATAATATGGGACATGTGGCCAGAACAGCTGAGGCAGGCAGGCAGGTATTACCCTTCCTTGGCACAGAAAGGTGCTAGTATCTAGGTAAATAATTTTTTTTTGTAAAGCACCACAGACTGTATCGCTTGTAAATAGAAGCTATTTAAGAAAAGCAAGCAAACAAAAACAGATCCCTTCAATATGGTCTTTTAAGAAAAACAAATGGTGTGTCTCAGGAGTCTTTATTGATCCCTGAATGTTACCATGTAACTACATGGTAAAATGGAGAAGTAATGGTTTGTCAAGAAGAAACCTAAGTCAACACTGAGAATCAAAAGGAATAATTGTGGCCTTGGCATGGAACTGTCTTGAGCTTGGTTAGTATCTGTATGGTAGAGAAGATTATATCTCTGTATTTATGGAGAATATTCAAAAGACTTTTTTCTTCTAGGATTTTTATGCTTTTGAGTCTTACATTTAAGTCTTTCATCCATTTTGAGTTTATTCATGTATATGGTGTAAGAAGGGTATTTAGTTTCATTTTCTTTTGCACATATCCAATTTTCCCAACACCATTTATTGAATACGCTGTCTTTTTGAAAAGATTTTATTTATTTTATTTTTAGACAGAGGGGAAGAGAGGGAGAAAAAGAGGGAAACATTAATGTGTGGTTGTCTCTTCCCCACACTAAGGACCTGGCCCGCAACTCAAACATGTGCCCTGACTGGAAATCAAACCAGTGATCCTTTGGTTCTCAATCCACTGAGCCATACCAGCCAGGGCTGAATATACTGTCTTTATCCCATTGAATGTCCTTGCCTCCTTCGTGAAATATTAACCATAAAAATCTTAGAAGGAAACATAGGGAGTAAAATCTCGGATGTTTCTTGTAGCAATATTTTTTTCTGATATATCTCCTCAGGCAAGGGAAACAAAAGAAAAAATAAACAAATGGGACTATATCAAACTGAAATGTTTTGGCACAGCAAAGGAAACTGTTAACAAAATGAAAAGATACCCCACTTAATGGGAGAACATATTCATCAATGACATATCTGATAAGTTAATATTCGAAATTCATAAAGAACTTATAAAGCTCAACACTAAAAACAATCCAATTAAAAATTGGGCAAAGGACCTGAATAGACACTTCACCAAAGAGGATATACAGATGGCCAATAGATATATGAAAAGATGCTTAACATCACAAATCATCAGAGAAATGCAAATTAAAACCACAGTGAAATATCACCTCATACCTGTCAGAATGGCTAACATCAATAAATCAACAAGCAAGCGTTGGTGAGGATGTAGAGAAAAGGGAACCCTCATGCACTGTAGGTGGGATGCAGATTGGTTTAGATATTATGGAATGAAGTATGGAGCTTCCTCAAAAAATTAAAAATGGATCTTGCCTTTTGACCAAGCAACCTCACTTCTGAGAATATATCCAAAAAAACTCAAAAAACACTAATTTGAAAGACTATGTGCACCCCTATACTTATTGCAGCATTAATTACATTAGCCAAGATTAGAAGCAGCTCAAGTTCCCATCAGTAGATGAGTGGATAAAAAAGCTGTGGTACATTTACACAATGGAATACTACTCAGCTGTAAAAAAGGAAATCTTACCTTTTGTGACAGCATGGATGGATGTACAGAGTATTATGCTAAGTGAAACAAGCCAGTCAGAGAAATATAAGTACCATATGATTTCAGTTATATGTGGAATCTAGTGAACAAAATAAACTAAAAAACAAAATACAAACAGACTCATAGATACAGAGAACAGACTGACAGCTGTCAGAGGAGAGAGGGGTTGGGGGCTGGATGAAAAAGGTGAAAGGAACAAGCAAAAACAAAACCCATCTCACAGACACAGACATAGACACTTTCCTTACTGTGATTTCCAGAGGGAAAGGGGGTGGAGGAGGTGGGAGAGGGTAAAGGGGGGATAAACGGTGATGGAAGGAGACTTGACTGGGGGGGTTAACACACAGTATAATATACAGATGATGTATCATAGAACTGTACACCTCAAACCTATATAATTTTATTAACCAATGTCACCCCACTAAATTCAGTAAGAAAAAAGGACTATTTGTTGAACAAGTGAATTTACGATAGGCTTCGAGAACCCAAACAGTGAGCCAGAGGGCTCCCTGACGGGTGGGGGAGCACTGCTGGCAGCCTCCAGGAATGCAGAGGGAGCTGGAGAGGTGTCGGGGCACTAGAGATGGTTACTGTTATCCAGTATTTTTTTTCTAGTATGTCTGAGAATTCTATTTTATTTACTTTTATTTTATTTACTTTTATTTTATTTACTTTTATTTTATTTACTATTATTTACTTTTATTTACTTTTATTTTATTTTATTTTATTTTTTGGTGAAAACATTTAAGTTCTCTCTTAGTAAACATCAGTTACAATACAGTTTTAGCAACTACAGTCGTTATGTTACGTGTTAGCATCTCAGACAGACCCCATTCATCTTACAGCTGAACGTGTGCACACCATTACCACTGTCTCTCTACTTCCCCTGGCCCAGAGCCTGGCAGCCGCCCTTCTGTTCTCTGTTTCTGTGCGTTTGGCATTAAAACATACATCCATTAACAATGAGGTCAAGGAGAGACAACTCAATGACTTGGAAAGTTATTCATAGAATTTTAAATAAAAAGACATGGTTATAAAATAATACAATGCGATTTTGTGAAGAAGAGAAACGTTTACAGACATACACATCACACACACCTCAAAAGAACATACCCCAAAATGTTAATAATAATTAGCAGCTTGTGTAATAGGATTTTTCTTTTCTTTTTTTATTTATTGAGTTTTGTAACTTTTTAATATTTTTCATGTGTTGGTTTTCTAATTATTTTTAAATCATTATTTACATGATTTCCTTTATAAGGACATAATAGCAAAAGGTAAAGAATTGACAGAAAATTTCATAATGGAGATAAATTTAAAGAACCATTCTATTTTCATAAAAGAGAGATCCATCCATATGGGAACACTAGCTAAATAAGGGTTTATAAATTGGAATGAGCTGTATAATGTAGGGAAACATTGATTGTTCAGAATATATTTTATCTAATCCTGATTTATATTTCCACCAAGATTCCCTCCCTTTATCCATCTCCAAGTTTCTTTAGCATAGAAGGCATTCCCTTAAGCAAAAGGAGCTGTGTTAGGTATGTTTACTTATTTATTCTCTAAAAAAATGTGTTTTAACTGCCCCCACATGGAATAACCCCAGAGCTTCACAGAGCTGCCTCACCAGTTGAAAACAGTTTCACCAAATTCATTAGTCATTTCTCCAAATTTACATTTTAGACCTTTTATTGGGGGACTGTTCTGTAAGCACCATGTTTTGAAGAGATAAATAAGATAAATAAGGCTGGAACACCTAAGTCATGCCCTTAGTGATACAGATAGATGGGCATTTTTAAGATTGATAAATTCAGTAAAATATGAAAGACAATGGTAAACTGAAAGAATGAGATTAGAGCAAAGGTTGTCATCCCCAGCTACACATGGAGACTAATTCTGGAGGCTTTTGATAAAAAAATAGATGTGCCTTGTCCCACCACCACAACGTCGAATTAGCAGATGCAGGATGAGGGTTCAGTATCCAGATTTTAAAAATTCTTCCCAGGTGATTCTGATTAATAGCCAAGTACTGAGGCCCACTGTTTTACAGCAACTAATTCTGCTGTAAATATGGAACAAGGAAATGCTGGTTGAACTGCAACTGGAAGATGAATAGGAGTTTGATGTCAAAAGGTAATCTAAACAGATTCAAAGTCCAGAAGCCAGGCCAGGACCAGGTTGACATGGGACTATGTCAGTGCCTCAGCATGACAGACACGTGGAGGATGCAGTGCAGGTCGTGTGTGCGAAAGGAGACAGGCCGTGGATACCCACACGGGCAGAGACCGTGCGGGGTTGGAGCTCACGGTGAGCAGAGCGTGCTGGGCGTCAGGGACCCAGCGTGGGCTGTGCGACCTGGTCACAACTCCAGGTGCAGATGGGGGAGGCCACAGGCAGTGAGTGCTGCAGGGCAGGATTTGAGAGACATTTTTAAGGCAGAAGTCACTAAATTTGACAATTGTACATACTGTGTTATCTATCAGTAACAACATTTCTGAGTTTTTTTGAGCCTGCACTTTTACATTTTTTCCTGAAATAGAAAACATTCCCTTGTATTCACATATCCCAGCCATTTTAACTCTCCTCTATATGCCTAGAGAATACTGTGGGGAAAAAAACAACCCTGTCACTATGTAATAGAATGAGATTTCATATACATGTTCATTTGCATTCACATATATTTTGTATTCACATATACATCCTTTTTTGTATTATCAGCAATCACCGTCCCCAGGGCACATACTGCGAACAGGCCCGGAAGCTCTGTGAGCACTGTGGCGGGGAGAATTCTATAAGCCCGTCGCTGTCTGTGTTCCATTATGCTCTCTCACTTGACATTTGTGAATGGAAATAGGTCTGACAAGTGTAAATAAGGGTGTCACACCTCGGAGTAGTACCCATTTCCACCTTGCCATTCCTTATCATGCGTGTGTTCAGGGATGAACATGCTGTTACAATCTTCCAATATTTTCTCAGTTGGAATTTTGTAAAGTGCACTGGTGAGTTCTGTGGTTTCCAGGGTGTAGACACATATTTCCTTCTTTCTCCTTGCAGAATTCAGCGCATTTTCAAAAACCTTGAAAAGATGCCGGGATGAAAAAAAGAAATACTCAGTGTTTAGCCAGCGGACAGAAGAGGCGTCTGCCACACAATACTTCCAGGTCAGGGAAGTTGGCGTGAGTGGAATTGACTTGTTCAGGGGGATGCACAGCTGTGAATGCACCTGAGCAGGGCGGCGGGCAGAGAGGAGACGATGGATACTGCACTGCAGTGTTTCTGAAAGCATGGCCCCTGGGCAGCAGCAGTGCCATCCCCTGGGTTGGAAGCCCTCCTCTGTCACTTACCATGTTGTCAGGACTTGGGCAAGTTTCTGTATGTTTCTGAACCTCAGTTTCTTCAGCCAAGGACATTATTCATCTGATTGTTGTGATGATTTAATTTGAGGTTAGGATATATGTGAAGCACTTAGAATGGTTCCTGGCAATAGAAAATTAACAAATGATAGCACTTACAAAGAAGATACCCATCACTGTCACTGCTCATGGATTTGGGTGTACCAGTTTCCCGACCTGGCTGGCCTCACGAGGTTATCACCGTCACTACCTTGGGCCCTGCCCTACCCTCAACCAGGAGTTCTCTCCAAGAGCTGTTTTTCTCTCCAGGCTGATGGGGCTCATTGGCACCATCTGTTTTGGCCCTAGCCCCTTTCTCTTATCTCTATTTTTGATCTGTGCTCTTTCATAACATCGGCTTTGGAAAGGAAGGCCATGTATGCACTTACCTGGCCAAGATCTAGGCCTCAGACTGTTGTCTGGAATAGCAGTCAGAAGCCTGGAATCTACTTAGAGTTCTAAGCCTCACGAATAGGGCCAGTGTGGACCATCACTGCCTCTGTTAGAGCCTCAGCTTCCCTGGGTGCTAGGCTAAGCCTGGCTGGCCCAGGGTGGCTGTAGGAACCAGATGCTCTTGAAGGTGCTGCCCTGTGGGTGGTTCACTCTCTCTCTGTTCTCTTTTCCTTATAGTTTTATGGCTGCATTTCCCAGCAGCAGAATATGATGCAAGATTTTGTGAGGACAGCCACCTACCACAGAGCCATCCTCCAGAACCACATTGACTTTAGAGATAAGGTAATAATGACAGCAGGTGACTGCTCTCTTATTAGTGGCTATTAACTGTGTTAAGAAGTCTTGTGTCAAAACCTAGAATCAAAATTAAGCTTTGATAGAATTCCCATATGACCCATGAATTCCACTCCTAACCGTATACCCCCCAAAATGGAAAGCAGGTATCCAAACAACTGTTTGTACATGAACATTAAGCAACACTACTCACAATAGCCCCAAAGTGGAAACAGTCCAAATGCTCATCAACTTATATGTAGAAAAATAAAATGTGGTATAGCCATACAACAGAGTATTAGGAATGTTACTTATATTCCCATTGTCCATAAAAAAAAACATAATGCTGATATGTGCTTCAACACGGATGAACCATGAAAGCATGCTAAGTGAAGAAGCCAGTTACAAATGCTCAGATGATTCCATTTATAGGAAACATCCAGAATAAGCAAATCCATGGAAGGAAAGCAGACTCATGGTTCCCAGAGGTTTGGGGATGGAGAAATTGGGAGTGGCTGCAGAGTGGGCACCCAGTCACCTTCTGGGGTGACGAAAATGTCTTGGACCTTGATAGAGATGATGGGTGCACAACTCAGTGAATGTACCAAAAACCACTGAACTGTGCCCTTTAAAATGGTCTGTGGCTAATTTCATGGTATATGACTTGCACCTCAGTCAAGAAATTAAGCTTTGAGTGAAACTCTGGAGACTGTATGCACTGTGCTTTGGTGCACAGAACAGGTTAAGAGCTTTATTGCTACATAAGGACTAGCTCTTATTTTATCACTTTACTTCATTTTTTCCATAGACTTCACAAGTGCCTGCATTTATTCCCTTCACAAAATGGATCTGAATGAAGAATGATTATGAACACGTTATATAAGTGTTGTTCATTATTCTCCTACCTGTTAAACAGACAAAGTGTTCAAAATACTATACAGTTCATCTCAAAGATAAGAGTACTGTTCAGTGGAATCAGCAGTCATGGGATTTAGTTTCATACTTTCCACATGTGTGGTCTTAGGCAAAACACTACATTTCTCTGAGCCTCACACTCTATTCCACTACCACAGTAATTGTAGTTCCGTGGCCTTTGGGACTGCAGTATTAATTCCCCAGGAAGGCTGTGGTGGAGCATTGAAATAATGATCCAAATGACTCATGCCTCCCTGTGTCCACATCCATTTGCAAAGTTGTGTAGCTGCTGCTTTCATCAAGAAATAGTCTAATTTCCCCCCTATCTCTGTGCTGTCCTTGTGATGTACTTTACTCAGTAGAATATGACAAAGGTGACATTGGGTGAATTTCAGCCTAGGCCTTAATGAGCCTTGTGGCTTCTGGTCTCACCCACTTGGAGCGCTGAGACCACCCTTCTGTGAGGAAGCCCCAGCTAGCCTCCCGAGGCTGAGAGGGCTCAAGGAGGACTGCAGCCGTCCAGGCAACGGCCAGCACCAGTGCCAGACCTATGAGTGAGGCCACCTTGGGCCTCCCAGCCCAACCACTCCTCCAGCGAATGGCTGGAACATGAATGGGTCCAAGCAAGACCAGAATGGGGAGAAATAACAAATTGTTTCCAGTTGAAGCCACTTCATTGTGATGGGTTTGTTATGCCACACCGGCTAAGTAAAACAGAGAGATGATGAGTGAAAAGTCGTGACAAATGGGCCTCCAGCTGATTTGCCTGCGGCTGTCTTTCCTCTGCCATCTCCACTCTGCTGTTAACCCATCAGAAGTATTTTTTTTATTTTGATTATTGTATTTCTCAATTCCAAGTTTCCATTTGGCTCTTCTTTATGTCATGTATTTCTTGACTGATACTTTTCTACTTTTCCCATGATTTCAGCAGTGTTCATGATTACTAGTGGGAGCGCTTTTTTATATAATAGTTGCTTAAATATTTTTGTCAGATAATTCTAATGTCTGTGTCTGCTGTATTGGTTTCAGGTGATCTTTTCCAGGGGTTTGAGATTTTCCTGATTATTAACATGCCAAGAAATTTTGGACTGCATTCTGCAGATTTTCAATATTATGTTGTAGAACTCTAGATCTTGATTAAAGCCTATGGATAATGTTGATATTTTTCTTTAAGTATTCATTCAACCCGATCAGGTTCATGCCACTCATTGGTCTTCCGAGGCCCCTGGTTCCTACCTCAGCTCAGTTTTCAAAGCCTTAGCAGTGCTGTTTGCGTCCGCACATGCGCCACATCACTCAGTGGTCAGTCTGGCACCTAGGCAGAGTTCTCAGTTCTGGTTTGCTAATTGTGATCAAATCCATGCATGTATAAGTTGAGGGTAAACCAAGGAATTTCTAGATACAACCCTCCCCCCAAATAAAAACCCTTTATGGGGTGGCTTTGCCAATTTCCTTCCTCTTCATGATCTCCCTGGTATTTTTTGGTCCCCTGGGGACACTTTTCAGTCTCTGGGCCAAAAAGCTCACTCTGCCATGCTCTTCTGTGACTTTGCCTACTTGGCCAAACAGAGAGAGAAGGGACAAAGATAGAATAAAAGCAATGGGGGTTAGTCCCAGCCTTTGGGAATGATGGCAGCATTGATTACAGACAAAGGTTGTCCTCTCTTGTCATTTTGGCTCCTGAAGACTGACATGACTACCACAATATTGCTGGCGGCTGGAGCATTGAGGAGGAAAGGGAAGGGGAAAGGGTGGAAAGCAGGAATGGGGAGGAAAAAAAACCGAGGGTTTCCACACTCTCTCTGAGCATTAAGATTTCCCTTTCTGGACGTTGGAGCCAGAACTAGAAGGCATCTCCAGGAGCTCTTGTCTGTACACTGGTGCCCATTTTTGGTGTGTGGAGTCCAGGCCATGAGTTGGGTATCAGGGGATATGAATCAGTAGTATTTCATATTCTGGTCTTCTTTCCCAATCTACCTGTTACTGTTCACTTTTAGTCTTTAAGTAACTGTTTCATGTATTCTGACCAGGTTTTGCACCTGTACTCAGTGGGAAAGACAGGGTGTGGTGGCTCTCTACAACTTACCTAGGACGGGACATTTCCTAGAAGACAAATCGAGGTACTTAGGTGGGGTGAGGGTGACAGTAAGAGACAAAGGTAAGACAGAAATGGCCATATTTGGCTGAAGGGTCTCATATGTCTTGTCATGTGTTGAGGTGCCAGGACCCTTGCTTTTCCAAGGGGCTTATGTCTGTTGAACAGTTATGAAGCTAACATTCCTAATGAGGAGAGAGGAGAAAAGCTTGATTCTTTTGACACCTTTCCTGTTACTCAAGATTGTTGGTAAGCAGTCTGATTGACCTAAGATAGGTTTCTTGCCAATTAAAAAATAAAAATTCAATCCATGACTTGAGGATGATTTCAGGAGCTAGTATTTTTATTTACGGAAACTTCCCTCTTTCTGAATTTGTGTAGTTTGAATCTATAATATTCAAACTACACAAACTACTACTGTTTTCTATTATCTATAATATATTTTCTATATTATTTATAATCTAATTTTAATTTTGGTTATAGCTTTTAAAGACCACTCCCCAAACTACTAATCATGCTAACTTGTATTAGGTAACTCTCAGAATTTCACACGGACTATGTTACTTGAACACTTTATTTGTATATTTTTTCATCTCTATAAATGAAGATATTGGATCAGGTCTTCTTTAGGGTCACTTCCAACTCTTACCTTGTTTGGGTCTATAAAATACCCCTTTTCTGCCAGTCTGAAATGGGCTTATCTGCCTGTGAAATAAAATAGGCACCCATCTGCTGGGGTTTATGAAGGTGATGATTAATCACATGGTTGATAATTAATTATATTCCTCTCTCCCTCTGAGTTCTGAGCTGATTTAGAAGTAGACACAGATGTCAGGTAGAAATCATAATGCCAGCTTTATTGTTGGAAATGCTGTTTGGAGTACAGTGTTTGGACTTGTGTCCAAATAGAGATCCCTACTTTGTTTTTCCTCCAAAATAAAATTTTCTACCCACTAAACAGCTGGTCTCCCCAGACTAGTCCAGACCCTGCCCAGCAAGCTTTCACACAGGGGACTCCAGAGCGCACGCTTGAGTAGGGACTGGGCAGGCTGGCCACTGCTGAGCACCGGGCTGGACAGGCTTAGCCCTCTGCCTCAGTCAGATGCGTCACCTCTGTCATGAGGAAAGAAGGAAGAGGTGATGGCTGTTCTTACTTCTGGTATTTCCCACTCCTGGGTGTCAATATCCCCTCTCCTCTGAAAACTGGAAGGGCAAATTGTCCTGGTTTTAGTGTCTCTGGAATCCCCTCAGTCCCAGACACACCAGGATGGCTGGTCACCCTAACTCCAAATCTACCACGAATCCAGATCCTTAAAAATCCTTTTTTGTTAGCTTTGTTATACTGAAGACCATTCTGAATAACCTGTGTCCATGGATCGTGTCCATGGAGGGCACTATATTTTCACTAAACCCCTGTATTCTTTCCCATCAAAACTTCTGATCTAAAAGGGAATGATTAATACCAGTGGCTATTATTTATTGAGGAACTCAGTATATGCAAGCACCATGCTAAGAGCTTCTCATACATTGTTTCTGTCTTAGTCAATGCAGGCTGATATAACACAAATAGTACAGACGGGGTGCTTTAAACATTTATTTCTCATAGTCCATGATCAATGTGCCTGTGGAACTGGTGTCTGTTTCCCGGCTTGTAGATAGCACTCTTCTCCCTGCATCTTCATGTGGCTGAGTGGTAGAGGAAGCAAGCCCTCTCCTGTCTCTTTTTATAAGGGCATGAATCCCATCACGAGGGCTCCACTCCTGAGACCTAATTACCTCCCAAAGGCCACATCTTCAAATACCCTCACATTGGGGATTAGAATTTTGGAGGGCACAAACATTCAGCCTATACCAGCTTCCTTTCATCTTCATTACGCTTCATTACTAATATTTTTACTGTTTTAAAGATGAAGGAACTGTGGCCTGGGCATGTCGATAACTTAGGTACTTGATTTAGCACAACTAGTAAGTGAAAGGTAAGGATTTGAATCTAGTTAGT